ATACCGACGATCAAATCTCAGGCAAGTAACATACCGATGACAAAAGGAATAATGTATGTTGTTATGCGGTCTGACTGATAAAGATCTTCATAGAATATGTGGGAGCCAATATGAGCATCCAGGTTCCGCTATTGGTTATTGACCGGAGACGTGTCTCGGTCATGTCTACATAGTTCTCGAACCCGTAGGGTCCGCACGCTTAACGTTTTGATGACAGTTGTATTATGAGTTTATGTGTTTTGATGTACCGAAGGTAGTTCGGAGTCCCAGATGAGATCGGGGACATGACGAGGAGTCGCGAAATGGTCGAGACGTAAAGATCGATATATTGGACGACTATATTCGGACATCGGAAAGGTTCCGAATGATTCGGGTATTTTCAGGGGTACCGGAGAGTTACGGGAATTCGTATTGGGCCTTAATGGGCCATACGGGAAAGGAGAAAAAGGCCTCAAAGGGTGGCCGCACCCCTCCCCATGGATTGGTCCGAATTGTACTAGGGAGGGGGGCGCCCCCTTCCTTCCTTCTCCTTTTTCCTTCCCTTCTCCTACTCCAACAAGGAAAGGAGGAATCCTACTCCCGATAGGAGTAGGACTCCCCCCTTGGCGCACCCTCCTTGGCCGGCCGCCTCTCCCCCCTTGCTCCTTTATATACGAGGCAGGGGGGCACCTCTAGAGACACAACAATTGACCGTTTGATCTTTTAGCCGTGTGGGGTGCCCCCCTCCACCATAGTCCACCTCGATAATACTGTAGCGGTGCTTAGGTGAAGTCCTGCGTTGGTAGAACATCATCATCGTCACCACGCCGTCGTGCTGACGAAACTCTCCCTCAACACTCGGCTGGATCAGAGTTCGAGGGACGTCATCGGGCTGAACGTGTGCTGAACTCGGATGTGCCGTGCGTTCGGTACTTGATCGGTCGGATCGTGAAGACGTACGACTACATCAACCGTGTTGTGCTAACGCTTCCGCTTTCGGTCTACGAGGGTACGTGGACAACACTCTCCCCTCTCGTTGCTATGCATCACCATGATCTTGCATGTGCGTAGGAATTTTTTTAAATTACTACGTTCCCCAACATGAACGACATCCTCGACGCGGTCGTTGCAGCGGTGCGCCTTGGGCTGCCGCTTGTCCCCCTCCGGCAAACCCCACGGGCTCTCCCACCTCGGCACTGGCCTCTACTCGCTCTCGCTCATCCTCCTCCTCCCCTACCAACACCACCACCGCTCTTCCCTGTCCACTCCAAGAAAAGGACCAAAATGGCGGCTCAAATCCAATCCACACAAGAATCCTACTCGGCACCATCGACGGAGAGATCAGAGCAGGCCGACACACCTCGCAACCACCGCTCCTCCCCTACGCGCGCCGGCGACGAGAGATCCCGAGATCGAGACGACGGCGGCTGCTTCACTTCCCCGACCATGGTGGTGCGCTAAAGGAGGCTCCTCCAAGGCGACCATCGAGAAGACGAGTTGAGGGAGGTGGAAGGCGGGTGAGGCCGCCGGCGTCCCTTCGCCGTCGTTTGGGGGGCAGAGGAGGCATTGGCGGCGGGATTGGGAGGAGGAGCGGCGAGGAGAAGATTAGGTGGGGCGTGGGAGGGAGAGGGGAGAGAACTCACCGCTTAGTCGCGGTGTGGTGCGACTAAGTGGCAGGGCATGTCGATTAGTTGTAGCGCGGAGGCACGGGTGCGGCACTGCTGCTAAGTGAGGCACATCGACTAACCCCGTCTATTCATATTACTAGCGTCGGATGGCACACCGCGCTACTACTATCCACTTAGTAGTAGCGCGGCTTTTATGCACCACGCTACTACTATAGTCTGTCACCTGGGCATGGTGAGAACCACTTAGTAGTAGCGTGCCGAAAAAAAGCAACGCTGCTGCTAAGCCATACCAGTAGCGCGTTTTGTACCCAGCGCTACTGGTAATTACCAATAGCGTGGGAACACGAACAAACGCTACTGGTAAACTTCTATGTATAAGCATTTTTCTAGTAGTGTATTTTTCACAACAAAATTCATTACTCAAATCTAACACCAGAATCGCTATAAGAATGTGGTTCGTCACAATGGTTTCCAATAACAAAATGAACCTTCTTTACGTGATGCCACTAGTGCAGAACCAGGCTATAGCACCGGTCGTAAGGCCCTTTAGTGCCAGTTCTGTAACCGGTACAACACGAACATCCGCTAAAGGGCCACCACGTGGCACGAGCCAGCGCCGGGGGCGGGGAGACCTTTAGTACCGGTTGGTAACACCAACCGGTACAAAAAGGTTTTGGGTTCATGATTTCTTTTTCCTTTAATTTTGTGTTTTCCATTTAATTTTTTTTAATTTGCTGGTATTTTACGATACTACATATTCTACACGTTATGCATATATATAAATAGAATTTCTCAATAGAATTTCTCATAGAACCGATCATATATATGGTATGTATGTATGTATGTATGTATGTATATATCATCGAATGTCTCACAACCACCATTCACACATACACATGTATATATATACAATTAGGTATATACAATTTCTCCTACATGTTTCCTTCGGAGCCAGTGGCATTTGCCTTGGTGCCTTCGGAGCACGATGACAATTGGGAGTGGTTCATGGGGCATGTGGCATTTGCCTTGGTTCCTGCGGTAGCGGCGGTAGCGGGTAATGATATTCTCCTTTGGGATCTATGATCTGGTCGAGCAAAAATCCCACTATTTCTTCTTGAAGTGCTCGTATGCGCTCCGTTGATAGGACCTTATCCCGCACCTCATTGAACTTTTAAGAAGGGGATCAATATGCATGTATTAGTTGTGTGATTAGATATCGATAATGATATAAAAATTATGAATAGTGTTCTGGCAAACGTACCCATAGCTGTCTATCATCTTTGGTCCTTTCGGATGCCGTCATGCGAATATTCTCGCAAATATAGTATGCATATAAATCAGTCTACGGCGCCTGCTTCATGACCTTTACGAGAATATAGAATTCAATCAGATAAGAATTAATAAAGCATGATAATTAATGGTATTGAAACTAGAATTAAAGAGATGGTAGATAGCTAGCTAGACTACTTAATTACTTACCTTGGGTCGAAACCAATATGACTTTTCTTTCCATTCGCTTGGAACCGTTTTGATGTACTTTTGTCAAGCCCTGCCTGCCGGCAAAGAAAATGAATAAAGAAGTTAGTAATTAGTTGATATCAGGAAATGACGAACTAAAGAGGCCGACATATAGTTCAATAATGATTGAATTACCTGTTGACTATCCCCTTCACGATTGAGTAGTCTTTAGGTTCTTTAAGCAGTGAGTCCAGTACTTCAACTGTTCCTTCTTTAACTTAAATGATTAACAAGATCCAGTGGTACCTGCATGCGCATACGTTTGCATGTATTGCATGCGCATACGTTTGCATGTATGAATTAAGCGAGCATGTGCATAACTCTCATCAATTACCCTAAACCCTATACACTTATTAACATCTAGCTAGTAAGCAAAAACGGAATTTGTAGTACAAGACAGTGTGACTCACTGGAAATTGTAAGGAAGTAGTATATCTCGATTGGTATTGAGACGCTTCAAGAACTCTAGCATGTTTTTCTCTACTTCTTGTTTGTAATAGACAGTCGGGAAATCGTCATACTAAGACCCCATAGGACTAGAGCGGCAGAATAGCAACCGCCATCGATGAAGAGTAGCGTAGATCGGAAGGATACAATCTGAAGACACACGAAGTAGACAAACGATGACCAGATCCAAGCAAATCCACCAAAGACGGATCCATCAAAGACAAACATCGACATGCCACCGACGATGCTAGGCGCACCACCGGGACGGGAGGTAGGCAGGGATAACTTTATTCCATCTCTAGGGAGCCGCCATCGTCTCGCATTCCTTAGAAGGATGCAAAACCTAACAAAAATTAAAGAAACTGCTAAAACGGAGCCCTTCCACCGGCAAGGGCCAGCATCCACCACGCCTACATAACACAGCCGAAATAACAGCTTGATCAAATATGTGTGGTGAAATTCTTCGGTGGAGTAAATCAGTTTGGATTCAGCAAGACATTTCTTGATAAAATATTGAAGCTGAAAAGGAAACATGGCAAAATCATATGGCTTAGCTTCGACCCACTTTCCATCCCACGAGATGATTGGCATGTCTCTTTCTTTAGCACGAGAAGCTTGCCTGCCAAGGAAGCTAGTAGTAGCTCATTCCATTGCTGAGTCACCTGTCAACGCTATCCCAAAATCAGACGGGTCAAGGAAAATTCAACAGGGCGACGGTGTACACCAAGTACCATGAGAGCCACATACACTATGGCTGACAGGTGGACCAGGAGAGTCCGCAAGCCCACCCGTCAGGCACTCGCTGCCGCAGCGCGCGCCTACGCGTGGTTGTACGCGAGCGTCACTGTCGTAGGAAGGCTCGTGTGCGGGTACAGATGACCACATGCTCGAATTAGAGAAGTTTGGAGCGCCCTGCTCGCACCGCATCCTCTAACATTGAGAAGGAAAGTTAGAGAAGCTATAATACTCTAACTTTCCTTCTTTCTTTCATATGATTATGACTAAAACAATTTAAATTAATTTATAAATTGATGATCTATCATGTACATTTATAATAATTACATACAAACAAATTGATGGTGAAATAAAATTAATTTTAAATTATTTATATCTACAATAAATATCAATAGTAAACAACCTACTAACTATCTGCTAACAGTTCCTAACTTTTCTTTTTCATTTTACACTAGGCAAACAGTGTAGCACTGTGACTTTCCTTCATAATGTTAGAGGATCCGGTCACCTCCCTCTATAAAAATGTCTCCAGGGCTCCCCTGCTTTTCCTACAGAAACACATAAGCACACACTGACACACGATCAGTAGCAGAGAAGACCTGAGTTTTCTCTAAGCTTGGAGAGCAGAGGAAAGAAAGAAAGAAAGAGAGGGACGGGGAAATTTTAGTGGTGTAGAAGCTTAGCAGAGCATCAATGGGGTTTTGCTGTGGGTGTTCGGATGTCAAGGTGCTCCCCAAGAACAACTCCTTGGCTTCCTCGCCCTCGCCGTCCGCTAAAGATTCCAGCGATGGCGCCAAGAAGAAGCAGCCTCAAGCCGTAAAGAAGGAAGGGAAAGAGAAGAAAAGGAGCAACCTTGACCGGGCCGCCATGGCGTCGCCCCGCCTCCCCTTCCATTCTCGACCCGGCCTAATGTAATAGAGTTTGCAGATTTTCAGAACAATAGTGCATACAACATACAATCCTGTAGGTTCTCTTATTAGCTTACGCCCGGGTTTGCCTCGGTTGTTCCGCTGAAGATTTCATTTGTACTGTGTCCACGTGTACTGTTTTATTCATGGACGGTCGGTTGATCCAATTGCTGGTGTTCTTGTCAACTTACTAGTAGACATTACATTCATTGTCATCATGATAATATTTGTTTCCCTACTTTTATCTTGGATTGTTATTCCTCTGGCTTGACTGAACTTACTAGCTTGGGTGAACAAAGACATGATCTTTCATGTCTTCCCTCCCTGCGGAATGTGGATGTGTGATGCAGAACTAAGTAAAATAAAAAGAGAATTTTCATCCAATAGATAAAGACATGTCAAAATGAAAGTACTTTACTTAGGAAAGTGTGTTGACATAACTAAAGGATTCTGCTTCATCAAGGCAAACCCAACAAAGGATTGGTTCATGATTTTCGTTAACTGAATTGCACATTTTAATCCTAGTTTCTATGTATGTAATAATGCTTACCCCATTCAAATATTTCCGCAACATTTTACCTTGGAGTTATTACATTGTGTCAAGTTTAACCATAATGGCTTGCCACTAGTTCTGACTAGATTGGCTGCACTTGTCATGCCGATGTGGCTGGTTACCGGTACTCCAACTAGATAGCATAGACCAGCGCGGTTCGTCTCCCTACCTGCGCAACCCAGTCACGTTTGAGATATTTTTCGACAAAAAGATGTTTTTTATTGACTTAAAATCAAGCATCGAGCGATATAATTATAGTGAGTACACACCCGACCTCTGCATAACTAGGATGCACACAGCCAAAACTAACGCACACACACACACACACAAGCACACGCGCGCGCGCAAAGTATCACGTCGGCAAATAGCAAACTCATTCGAAGACCGAAGCTATGTCTAGTCGAAGGGGAAAAAGAAAAAAAACAAAAGCGATGAAAATAACGATTGACGACATACGGCAGTGACCATTGGCACCAATCATGTCTTGATAGCACAAGGACTACGAAGAAGGTTCTTTAAAAGCGACGTCTTCAAGAAGAGAACGATCTGCAAGCGCCGCCATCGCCCAATCCTACCATCGAAGGTCAGATCATGGGTTTGCACCTTGAAGATCAAGTCCGAGGAAACTCCGAGCAGTTCCTTCATCAAGGATACGACGCAGAGAACACCGCCATTGCCAGGTATAACCAAAGGGTCATACCCAGTGGCGTAGCTAGGCCCCAGGCTACTAGGGCCATGGCCCGGGGCGTGGCCGCATGCTGCTGTGTTTACTGTACAAAAAATACCACTATTTGGTACTGTTCATTACTGTTGCAACGAGGTTAGCCCGGGGCATGGCTGTAACTTGGGTACGTCACTGGTCATACCTAGGGTTTTCACCCCGGAGCTCGAGACCACCAAACGAAGTCATCCTATGATGTTTCCTTCACTTGCCACAATCCAAGCAGCAGTATACACGCACGGTCCTGATGGCTATATGCATGCATAAATGAGGTCTTAAAAAGAAATGCTCAAAAACTGGCCGGATACGTCCATGGATGTTTGAGGAGCCAAATTTAAGCTGGGCGGCTGTAGATGCCCTAACATATCTCTATACAAAAGATGTGGCACATGAAACATGGAAAAATCAAACGGCTTCCACCCACTTTCCATTACAGGAGATGATTGGCAGCTCTTCAATCTACTCTACACGAATAAGTCATTTTCCCCTAGAAAATAGAGAAAAAAAGTCGCTATCTCGAAGACCTTGTCAGCCAAGTAACCTCCCCTCTACGCTGGGTCACTGGTCAATGTTGCATGACCAGCAGTGTCCTATCAGCAAGGCCAAGGAAAATTCAAGAGGCCACGATACACAACCAGTACCACCCACGCCACATACACTACAGAGTAACAGGTGGGCCATAAGAGCCCTGGCACCCACCCGTCAGGTACTTGCTGCCACATGGCGCGCGTATCTGTTGTACGTTACACGTACGTGCGTAACTGTCAATGGAAGCGCATATCGTTGTCGTTGCGACGGGTGCAGCACAGTTGACCATGTGCTCGAATGTGAGTGGTAGTGAACCTTCCGATGCCTGCTCAGAGTTTTGAGTAGCGGACCTTCGGATGGAAGTTTGGATCGCCATGCTCTCCTCCCCTATAAAAAGGTCGCCGGGAGCCCTGCTTTTCCAACAGAGTGAGTGGTAGTGAAACATACACACCGGATCACGGATCAGCAGCGGAGAAAAGCTGAGTTTTACGTGAGCTGAAGAAACCTTGATCAGAGTGAGCTGAGAGAGCAGAGGGAAGAAAGGAAGAAGGGGAAAAGATAGTGCAGCAGTAGCTTTAGCAGGGCAGCCATGGGATTCTGTCGTGGGCCTTCCGATGTCAAGGTGCTCCCAAAGAACACCTCCTGCTTGTCGTCAACGTCCTCCTCATCGTCATCGCCTGCTAAAGATTCGGGCGACGGTGGCAAGAAGAAGCAGCAGCAAGGTGTGAAGAAGGAGCAGGGGAGGGAGAAGAAGAAGAGCAACCTTGATCGGGCCGCCATGGCTACGCCCCGCCTCCCCTTCCATTCTCGACCCGGTCTCATGTAATGTTAACCGGGAACAACAATGCATGCATAAGATCCCGTATGTTCTCCAATTAGCTTATGGCTAAGGTTGGAGCTTGGGTTTAAATAGCTTCTGTTGTTAGGTTAAAGTTTTGAGATTTCTACTGTCGTCACTTGTTGTATTTTTTCATTGATTGGTTGGTTGTATTCCATGATTCAAATTCCTGGTGTTTTCTGTCAATTTACAAGAGATTAAGCTCATTATCACCAGGATGCTATTTGTTTCCCTACTTCCTTCGTTGGATTACTATTCCCCTACATGACTCGCTAGTTTAGGCAAGCAAGACTAAGCCTACATCACCCTCAAAAAGACTAAGTCTACATCAACTACGAGCATCTTTATTACACCCAGTGGTCAAAACCCATATAAATTTGACTGGTGCACTGGGCACGTTCTCAAAAGTATGTGTAGCAAGAATCTGTGACCAAACTGCAAAATAAATTAAACCAAACATTTCCCTATCATAAAAGGAGAGAGAAGAAGCATGGTAAAACGGAAGGAACAACTACCACCACTTTCTATCCCAAGAAATAATTGGTGGGCCTTCATTCTACTCCAAATAAATAAATTGATTTTCCTCTTCCCTCAACCAAGACACACGAGCACCGCCTCTCAGCTGATCTCTTCTTTCTCCTATCTCCACATCCTCCCACCCGTCTAATGCTCCGGCCGGAGGTGGGGAGAACCACAATTTTGCTTGTTTGATCCGGATCTGCATCGAGACTGATTCGCATCTCCTCCAAGCAGACCTCACGCAGAAGGAACCAAGCTTCTCAGCATATGCCTCGGCCCTGGACGATCTGAAGATCGAGATGAGGCTATGGTTCTCAAAGTGTGATGTTATTGCATGTAGGCGGAAGACAACGGTGTTGCGCATGAGCTCGCTAAGTTAGGATATGAATGTAGTGTGAATGAACCCACCATATAAGGGATGTCGATGTACCGCCGTCTGTGGCCGGACTTGTTTTAGGCGACATGCCTAACCTGGTTGCGTAATAAAGTGTTTTGCTTTGACCCTAAAAAAAGGTTAGAGCTTGGCGTTGTGGTGTCATTGTTTCAGGTTTGGTGGCAGTGTTGCGTTGAATAATGGTTGTGCCCCAGCTTCAACCCCATCTCGATGGTATGTCGACATTGTTGAGGAGCCGGTTTTTCAGTGTCATCGTCAGGCATGTTCACCGGCCATGGGTGGTGTTCGTTTTGTTGTTGGCAGGCGGTCTTGGCCTTGTCTTGTGTGCATGTAATTCCCACATGTGAGTGATCACTGCTGGGTCATTGTTTAGGGTCTGGTGGCGGTGTTGCGTCAAATAATGGTTGTGCCCAGGCTTCAACCCCACCTCGATGGTATGTCGACATTATTGAGGAGCCGATGGGTCAGTCTCATCGTCGGGCATGTTCACCAGCGTTTGGTGGTGTTAGTTTTGTTGTTGTCATGCGGTTTTGGCCTTGTCTTGTGTGCATGTAATTCCCACAGGCGAGTGATCACTGCTGGGTTTCGTCGATTCCACCGGTGACGCTAGCCAGCCTTGACATTGGTTGGATGCCTACCAAGACAATAATGAGGAGTTTCTCTTTCTAGGTTTGTGTTGGTGCCACACCATTGTTCTTCTCGGCATCATGCTCTCCTCCGACGACCAAGCAGGCAATGACGAATACAGTTCGGAAGGATTTCCTTGCGGAATTAGATGTATTTCCAAGTCCCCACAGGCACATGGACAACTATCTTACACGTGGATATTTTCTTTGTACTACTCATTTTTTGTTAAATAATATAATCCAGATATATTAGAGCAACTGTCGCAGTGTCGCCATAGGTGATATGGAGCGCACTCCATATGCATATAGTGGACGTGCATGTTGTGAGCAAACACAGAATTGCCATGATGTGGCCTCCATAAACTTCATTTTGTTTCTTCTTTTTTGGTCATTTTCTTTAATTTTGCAGGGGGCAATTTAAGCTCAAATTATTATGAACCAAATGCAGGTATCATGTCGATAACTTAATGGCAACTATATTCAGTAGCCAAAATGTTTCCCTTTAAATATAATTAACGACTTGAAAAATAGTTTGACGTCATTTTCAAAATAACCAATGTTCCGAGCTTTGAGGGTGGAAGCCGCAACACGACATCGATATGGTCCTCGGGCTCCGGCGCCGACTTCAATTGGGCCTAGACTGACTATGACGTTGTTCATATGGACGAGGGGGTCGACGGGAACGACATCTTCCTCCTTCACACGGACGAGGAGGCTTGATTCCCGCAGCTGGCAAATCTGCCCTCGCTGGGGAAGAGGACAAGACGGCTGCCACGGGAAGAGTTCGTGCTGGTGTGCGGCGTCTAGGATGGGATCAAAATATATTAACCGTAACATTTCTCTATATATATGATAAAAAAAGGTGATAGAAGACACATGGTAAAACCAAACGGCTACCTCCCACTATCCTTCAAGGGAGATAATGAATTGGCAGGTCTTCATTCTTCTCCACACGAAGAAATCATTTTCCCTAGAAAATAGAGAAAACGACTGAAAGTCTTTATCATTGGGACCTTGCCAACCAAGCAACCTCACCTCTGTATTGAGTCATCGGTCAATGTTGCACGACCACCAGTATCCTACTATCAGCTAAGACCAAGAAAAATTCAACAGGCCATGGTAGACTGCAAGTACCGACAGCGCCACAACACTACAGACTAACAGGTGGACCATGAGAGCCCGGGCGCCCACCCGTCAGACACTTGCTGCCACGCGAGGCGCGTATGCGGCACATGGGTGTGTCACTGTCGATGGAAGGCAAAATCGTTGTCGTTGCGACGGGTGCGGCGCAGGCCACCATGTGCTCGAATGTGAGCAGCGAACCTTGCTGGAAGGTCGGAGCTGGCTGTCCTCTCCTATAAAATGGTCACCAGGAGCCCGAAAATGAGTTGCAGAGGCCGGTCTGCAGGCAGCTCTCAATCCTACCCGCCGAACTAGCATGGGGATGTCTGTTGCTAGACGTATTGCAATTACAGCTCCAACTTCAAGGTCATATATCACCGTATTCTATGATAGGCCCCATGCAAGAGGTACTTCCAATCTGGGCCGAAAGCAGGTGGTTGGCAGTAGGCACATGCTAGTACAGTGTGATCATGTCTTCTTTGCAGAACGACAGGTGTTTTGGTTTGTACTTAATCATCGGATACACTTAAGATGATGGATTAAAGAGAACTTTTAGAAAGGGAAAAACGTTGGATGGTGCTACTCTGAACGGCGGCACAACAGTTTTTTAGGAAAATTTTAAGGTGGTCCAGATCATTATGGACCGTTCAATTTTAATGAACTAATGGTTCATACAACATGTAATAGGAGGTAATAGACCATTGATAATGGGATGGGGGTTAGACATTGTTGTGCTATAATTAAGGACATAAATTATTATAATTTATTCCCTTTCTTTAAAACCTTGCATACATAGCAAAAAAATAACAGATCTAATTAATGCCAGATTTTTTGCCAATTATTTGTTTAGCTGATTTTCCCCAACTATTTTCTTTTGCTGAACGTACCTTATCATTATGTCTAACAAATGAAATAAGAAGTTTGTCAAGTTCTGTGATATATGTTTATGCATGTTTTATTTTGTCGGTTGGGAGCTAAACAATAGAGAATGCATAGAAATTGTTTCTAGACAACACCAAAAATGAATACTAGTTTTTTTTCTTTTGCATGGTAAATGAATAATAATTGACAAAATCATAGCAAAAAGCAGACAAAATACCATCAGTATTTTTCTTTAACAGAGCACCCATGTGTACCAATGTTCATGCACATTTTATTTCCTTGAGAAGAGAATGTATAACGGACAAAGTTTAGTGTATTTCTCACACAATAAAAATTCAAACACGTTCCTAGCATGGCATGTGTACATCTAATTTTTACTAACTCTCTCAGAATAATGGGAGTACACATACTGTTTAATTATGGTGATGATTATTAGGTTGTAATCTAGACGAATTATAATAATGCCATTTGTAGATTGTAGTGTATATACAAATATTTAGGATTCCATGGATATGTATCATATTTCACAACATTACACTTATCCATCTTTTTTCTGGGGAATTATTCATCTTCATATGATAGATACAACATAGATCGTACGAGGATTGAATGTGATTTTTTAGTAGATTAAAATAAAAAGATATGAGGGAAATATTTTAATATTTCCCTTTTGACAATAAATTGCCATAATATTATGTGTGGTCAAATATACCTTTTTTTGAGGGAAGGCCATCATGGCTAGCTTTATTGATTGAAAATAGGGATTACATCGTCCACAAGGTTCGAAACGAGAAAGCCCGGAGGCTCACCCGTCCAACTAAAAGAAATCTTATTACAATAACTGTAGTTAGGTAGCACATGCGCTGCTTGGTTACAAGAACGTGGGCAGTATTGAAATTTGACCTTCCCGATCAACGAAGAGAGATCCACACACTCGGCAAAAATAGCTGCTGCTTCATCCCACCATCTAGCTTGGCCATCACATGATTCTATCACCGTTGTGGAGTCTGATTCTGCTTCAATCCGGGGGAAACCAAGTGAATTTGCAAAAGCCAATCCATCTCTCATCGCAAGGGCCTGGGTGGTAACTACATTAGCTGCATGGGGTATAAATTTACACTGCGCCGCTAGGAATGTTCCCTTCTCATCCCTAATCACAGCTGCTGTAGCACCCAAACCTTCATCAACAAAAAAGGCGGCATCAACATTTAGTTTGACAAACCTGGGTTCTGGTATCCTCCATTTTTCTACGGTAGTATTCATCATCTTCTCATTAACCTGATGGTAATTATTTGCTATCGCCAATACGGACATCGGCCATTTAAAAGTAGGAGGAGGCGTTCCATCGTGAGTGAATTGCCGACGGATCCACCATAGATACCAGCTCCCCACCACAATGACTTGCTTGACATCCAAATTAGGTTTCAAAGGAGCTGGGCTAGATCCACCAAGGAGTAAATGTTCCAGTATGATAGAACCCAAACGATTCACCGACCTAGCTTCGGCAATTGTTTCCGAGATGCCTAATCTGCTCCAGAGTTCCCTTGCGTGAATACAATCAAATAGCAAATGCTTAATATCCTCCGCACCATGATGACAGATTGGACATGCACCATTTGTACCTACATGTCTGTTAGTAAGGATGGATTTAAGCGGCAATATCCCGTGCAGCGCTCTCCAGCAAAAATTTTGGATTTTACGTGGTCAAATATACCTTGATGAATGGACGGTTCTGACCAAATATTTCTCTTATCTCTTACGGGTAAAAGAACCATCTTGAAAGAGCTTTGAAAAAAGCACAACTAATTACTACCTTCATCCGGGTTTTTTAGTCGCCATTGTATTTTGGATCAAACTTTGATCACATGTTTGACTAATAAAATATTAATGCATGTCATAAAAATATGTATCTGAATTTATTTTTTAATAATATGACTTTTGCTACTACCTCCGTCTAGGTGAATAGGTCATTTATGTAGTTCTAGGTCATCGATTTGAGGAATTAAATACGTGTTATATGTCATGAAAAGTATATCACTAGATTTCTACACGGATGTAGTTTCTAAATATATATTTTTTGTCACATATAATACATATTTAGATAGTTAAATCATCGATCTAGAACTACCGAATGACTTATTCACCGAAACGGGGTAGTACATATGAGTTTCATTTTATTAGTTAAAGTTATTGTTAAATATGACCCAAAATGCGAGGGGACTAGTAAACCCGGCCGAAGATAGTAATTACTCTGTCCGTCTCAAAATATAAGATTTTTTTGACATAGTAAGTAGCAAGTTGTACACTACCTTGAGGATTAGTTTTATAAAAACAGAGAAATGCGCGGCGGTACATTTACAGAAAATTGCCCAGAATGAGACATGGTTGTAGCATGCAATGATGAGGTGGCCGAATATAGTAGAATATTGATATTTTTGTCCTCCGTGAAGGGTGAGCCTTAATTTCACCGTGTTTGATTTCGAGCAGTCATATCAGTCATCACATGCATCAAACAGTGTTATCTCATTCACTGATATACGGTTGCACTATTCGGGCTTCTTTGATTCAAAGGATTCTCAAAGAAATTTTGAAGAATTCTAATTCTTAGGATTTTTTCCTATGTGGGTTGTTTGATTCGTAGGATTGTAAACCGTAGGAATTTTTTCATAGGATTCATTTGCACTAGATTTCATAGGAAATTTTCCATCCACTCAAACCTCTTTGAAAGAATCCTACATTTTTTTATGCACAATCAAACACTCATACAATCATATAGGATTCAAGATGACATGCCATTCCAATCCTACGTTTTTCCTATTCCTGCATTTGGGAAATCCTACGAATCAAAGAGTCCCTTCATCTAGATGTATATTGGCTCGTATACTTTCAAAAGGTCTGACAGAAGTGAATCACGAGGCCCACACCCACGAAGGGGATAACGAGCTGTCTGGTGCTCGGCCTCTGCAACGCCGCTCTCACCAGGAGCCCTGTTTTCAACAGAAACACACACACGAATCACTAGCCGAGGAGAGCAGACGAAACAAAGGAATTAGAGAAGAAAAGATCAAACGGTGGTGCGGTAGTAGCTAACAGCGCAGCCATGGGATTCTGCAGCGGCCCTTCAGATGTCCAGGTGCTCCCAAAGAACACCTCATCCTCATCGTCGCCGTCTTCCTCGTCATCGGCTGATAAAGTTTCCGGCGACAGTGGCAAGAACAAGAAACAACAGGGTATAAAGAAGGAAGAGAGGAAGGAGAAGAAAAGGAGCAATCTTGACCGGGCTGCGCTCACGACGCCCCACTTCCCTTTTCATTCTCGCCCCGGTCTTCTGTAACAATAGATTAACGGAGAATTACAGGTGTATTTCATTCTCGCCCCGGACTGCGCGCACGTACCATCCTGTAGGTTTTCCTATTAGCCTGTGATTTATTCATTGATGGGTTGGTTGTATTTTTTTTTGAGGGGTGGGTTGGTTGTATTTGATGATCCGAATTACAGGTGTTTCTTTTTAAAATATAGAGATTATGTTCATTGTTATTGGGATTATTAATTTTTATTGTTGGATTGTTATTCTCCTGGCTTGACTTAATTCTTTGGGGAACGCGAGCAAAGATAAGCCTACATCACTTGTGTGCACCACTTTTTTTATCCGGTGGCCAAAACTTACATAGGTTCGGCCTACTGGGTATGTTCACCTAAAAAAAAGTATGTGCAGTGAGGATCTTCGGCCTAGCTGATCAAAATTCACTAAATCAAACATTTCTCTATCACAAAAGTTAATAGAAGTAGCATGGTAAACCAAACAAACAGCTTGCACCCACTTTCGATTCCAGGGCATAATCGGCAGGTTTCATTCTACTCCACATTATAAACAAATCAATTTTTTCCTTTTCCCTCAACCAAGACACGACCGGAGCCTCCTAGATACGTCATTTCTATAGATATTCAGCTCTTCCGTCCCACGAGGCCGGTGGTCCCATCCTCTTCATATGCTACTTTGGTGGCGGGAGGTGGGGACCCCGGTTTTGTAGTGTGTTCGGCATGTAGCTAGGATTAGAGTTTGGTGTTTGTGACGACGCCATTTAGATGGACGAGGAGTTGTGGCATCGAAAAATGGTGGTGCCCCGACTTCAACCCCGTCTCGCCACTTCGAGGGGCTGATGGGTTAGTGCCCTCGTCAGGCATGTGTTGAAGTATTGTGTGGAGTTGATTTGGTCGTCCACTTGTGGTCGTGGACTTGTCTTGTGTGCAGTTAGTTTGCACAATGGGAGATCACGGGCAGAGTCGCTACCTGGCCGTGATATTGGTTCCGCGACAACAACCATGAGTTTCCCTCTATTGTTCTAAGTGTGACACAATTGTTGTTCTTCTTCTTCTTGTCATCGTGCTCCTCCGACAACCAAGCAAGCGACGGCAAATTCAATTCGGACGGATTTTATTGTGGAGCTAGACATATTTCTAAGTCTCCTCCAGCATATTATGAAAAGTTGGGACAACTATCCTACGTGCGGCAGGGCATGGTGAGCGATCCTCAAATGATTCAAACTATCCTATGTGTGGGTGGTTTTTTACACCTTTTGTTAAATAATACAATTGAGATATTATCTATACCAATATAAAAATATTCAAAGGGGCAGATCCAACTAATCTTGGCCATCAAACTAAGTCAATCCAACGACCTAGACTGCTCCAATGTCGAGCGTTCAATGTGTTTAACGTGCAATTAATATCATATCAAATATTTCACTAATCACAAAATTAACACACAAGTACCTAATATGTGCGTGCAATTAATATATTGCCTAAATATTAACGTGCATTGCACGTGCGCATTTACTAGTTACACAAAAATCCCATCTTCTCCCGAACGTAGAAACAAATGGAAGTTTGTAACCAAAGAACCTTGCCGGCCAAGGAAGCTCATCTCTGGGCTGAGTCACCGGTCAACGCTCCATGATCGACATTATCCTATTCTATCAACAAGGCTACGGAAAATTCAACAAGCCATGATGCACAGACCCTACTTACTGACAAGTGGACAAGAAGTGTCCCTAGGCCCACCTGTCAATACCTGACTGCTTCGTGGTGTGCGTACGTGACATTTTTTTAAGGTTGGTGCGTGCGTCACTGCCGATGAAAGGAGAGAGAGGCCGTCGTGGTTGCAATGGGTGCAGGTGCCAGCGAACATGTGCTCGAGCTCGAATGAAGCAAAATATATATAATACTGTGATTTTTAAATTATAGAGAGCGTAGAAACCTTCCACTGGAAGTTTGCATCGAGCCACTCTTTTCCACTATAAAAATCCACTATAAAAACAGGTCGATGGGAGCATATCGTTTGCCAACATAAACACACACGGATAAGTTAGCAAAGAGCAGAGTTACCTCAGAGACAAAGGAAGAAGAGAGGCGAGGTAGCTAGCTTCAGACATGGGGTTCTGCTGTGGGCCTTCGGATGTCCAGGTGCTCCCCAAGAACACGTCCTCCTCCTCTCCCTCCTCCTCCTCGTTTGTTAAAGATTCCGGTGATGGCGGCAAGAAGAAACAGCAGCAAGTTATAAAGAAGGAACAGGGGAAGGAGAAGAAGATGAGCAACCTTGACCGGGCCGCCCTCACAACACCCCGCCTCCCCTTCCATTCTCGACCCGGTCTAATGTGACAGATTAGCCGAGAACCAGTGTATTTCATAGAAATATATGATCTTGTGTGTTCTCCTATTAGCCTACGTCTGAGTCTGTAACTTAGGATGTATAGCTCCATTGTCCCGTTGAAGTTTCGAGGTTTGCAGTGTGGCCACGTGTTCTATTTATTCATTGATGGGTTGGCTGTATCAGAATATCCAAATTGCAGGTGTGTTATAATAGAGATTTTGTCCATTGTCCATCAGGACAATATATTTTTCCCTACATATTTTGTTTGTTGGATTATCATTCCCCTTGCTTGACTTAATTCACCAGCTCAAACGAGCAAAGCTTAGCTTATTTCTTCCTCCTGCTGAAGGTGGGGATGTGATCAAGAACCAGGCAAAGGCAAACAAAATGTTACATCCAAAAATAGTAGAGAAGTCAAAATGAAAACATTATACTTGGGGAAGTGCACTGATACAACCGAACAGTTCTGCTTTATTAACTTGAACATGACTAAATGAAGTAGAAACAAATATTGTGACACATATTTAGATAGGGAATGTGCACTATTTTGGGCCATATTGAACTGCAGAAATGATATGCTCTTTAGTAGAAAAAATTTCACCAACTTTTTGTAGGTTATTTACAGGGCCACTGCATGGATCCGTACGTGGTCGTTACTCACTCATGCGGACTTCGAGGAGCTTTTGCCTACTAGGTGCAACCGCAGCTGGGAGATGGTAGCACGGATTATCTTCAACCAATTTGGATGGCAAACTAATAATTAATAGGCTAGGTGTTTAGTCATTGTAGCCTATTCTTTCACCGGCTGTGGCATTTTCTATTTTATTTTGATTTGGCTACTTTTGTGAGCCAATACTGGACCTCATATTTTGTATTCTACTTTCGTTAGATAATATGGCTGCATGCATCACTTTGATGTATAGGCCGGGAGCTATCCTCCTTTTCAAAAAAAAACTTGAACATGACATGGACAAAGCCAAAAAAGGAATGGCCGACGATTTTTTTTCCTTGATTGGGGATTGATTGATGGTTAGGTGGATATCACCACTAGGAAAAACGCTACCAGTAGCGTAGGTTTTTTGCATACCAGTAGCGCGGGGTACCGCGCTACTGCTACGACGCTACATCTATTTTTTAGCGGTAGCGCGTTTTTTACCCCACGCTACAGCTAAAAAGTTAGTAGTAGCGCGTGCAACCCACGCTACTACTATTCTGCACCTACGCTACTACTCTCTAATTACTAGTAGCACACCATTTTGCCCCATGCTACTGCTAATTAATTAGAAAATAAAAAAATAAAAATTAGATGCAATATTCATGGATGGAAATCAAGACACGTCTAGTGCAAAGGTCCCATAACCATCTTAGCAATTGCAACGTTCATGGATGTAACATTGAACATCTCAACTCAAAGAGATCATGAGATCCCATTTAACATCAGACGCGAATAACCAGACCACTTCTCTAGATGTATCTGCCAAAGCCTCGGAGTTCAAACTCCGATGGACCCGAACCCTCCCTCCCCCTGGAGGGTGGCGTTGGCGTCGAGGTCCTCCACCTTGGCGACCTCCAGCGTCGCAATCACCTGGACGATCATCTGCGCGACGCAGTCTCCGGGCTTCACGACGAAGTCCGCCTCTGAGGGGTTGAAGAGCACGGCACCCACTGGGATGTGGTAGTCCTGTGTTATCTCTCCGGCTTGAAGAGCGTTTCCGGTGGCGTGGAGGTAGTCTTGTGTTACCTCTCCTGCTTGGTCGCCGTACCTACAAAAAGGAGAAGAAATATCAACGATCCAATCAACCGGCGGCATCAAACGATCATGACTGCGCAAAAGATTTTGGTTATGACTAGTTGTTGTTGAACCAAAAACATTTGATGTTTTGAAAGCATGGATGCAATGCAGTGTTTGTACATTACATGCGTTACAACTGAAGTTGTGACAACTGATGATGTTTGCATCACGTTCTTGACCGATACCTCAACAGCATCACATACTTTACGTGAACCATTGAGCAAGTAAGGGACAACTAATAATAATATATGATGCAGCAACGGTTACGCATATCAAATCTCTTGAACTAATACAAATATAGTTCTGATCACACATTAGCTCTTAGAACTGTTTGACTTTTATTTACATTCAGGCATCTTAACCCAGTGTACTCAATAATAGCAGTACACTAAATACTTGGGATTTGCTTGTGGAGGCCCAGTAAAACATAAAATCCAAATCACAGCATATGATTTCATCTTATCTGGTGGTTTGGTAATGCGACTATTAATCTGATCCATCTTTGGATCAATAAATTCCATTTTTTTCGGAACAGAATCACGAACTACCTAGACCAACTCAAAAGTTCAGAAATTATTGGCAGCTCTAAGAACTGTTTGACTTAAGTTATGGCAACTTAACCCGGTGCACTCTATAATAGTACACTTAATACCTGGGATTTGCTTGGGAAGGCCCAATTCTCAACGTAAAAAAAATGTTTGGTATTCTTCCTCAAACATGAACAAAATAAAATTGTTTGGCTGAAATAGAGTAATCACGGAGTTTGATCAGAAGTATATGAACAGTAGCACTAGTTTGTGGTGTTCACAAATGATTCATTCTGAAAATCTGTTCTCATCAGAGAAGCAAAACTTTCCCGTATACAAGAACATAAAACCATACTGAAGAGATT